AATGAATCTAAGTAAAGGGTACTGAATGTTCTTAACACCATCTTATTCTTTGCAACTTTTCTATAAGTTAAAATTTGTTTTGTTTTGTTTTTGAGACGGAGTCTCACTCTATCACCCAGGCTGGAGGGCACACTCACGGCCACTGCAGCCTTGACCTGCTGGGTTCAGGTGATCCTTCTACCTCAGCCTTCCAAGTAGCTGGAACTACAGGCAAGTGCTACCACGCCTGGCTAGTTTTTTTATTAATTGTAGAGATGAGGTCTTACCAAATTGCCCAGGCTGGTCTCGAACCCCTGGGCTCAGGCAATCCTCTTGCCTCGGCCTCCCAAAGTGCTGGGATTACAGGCTTGGGCCAATGCACCTGGCCAAAATTTTAAAAAGTAAATGAAAGTTTATTTAGAGATAACTTTCTGGGCATAGTGATAAACCTGTGAAAATGTGAGGTCGAAATGAAGTCTGCTGTACTAAGAACAAGATTCATTTTTTTTTTTTACCGCAGCCTCGACCTGCTGGGCTCCGGCGATCCTTCCTCCTCAGCTTTCCGAGTAGCCAGAATTACAGGCGTGCGCTACCACGCCCGGCTAATTTTTTGATTTATTGTAGAGATGAGATCTCGCCTGCCCAGGCGGGTCTCGAACCCGCGGGCTCAGGCAATCCACTCACCTCAGCCTCCCAAAGGCGTGGGATTACAGGCTGAGCCACCGAGCCCGGCTAAGATTAATTTTTTAACTATTGATTTTTACAGATTCAGAAAGACTTGGAATAAAAGAGATATTGGTGGCTGGGCACAGTGGCTCATTCCTAAAATCCCAGCGCTTTGGGAGGCTGAGGAGGGAGGATTGTTTGAGACCAGGAGTTTGAAACCAGCCTGGGCTACATAGTGAGACCTTGTCTCTACATAAATAAATAAATAGCCAGCCAAGTATGGTGGTGCATGCCTGTAGGTCCAGCTATTTGGGAGGCTGAAGTATAAGGATTGCCTGACCCTAGGAGGTTAAGGCTGCGGAAAGTCACGATCATCTTACTGCACTCCACCCTGGATGACAGAATGAGACCCTGACTCAAAACAAACAAACAAACAAAAAACAAAACACGAAAATAAAAATATTTTGCAGGTTATTTGGTCCTAATAATAGCATTCAAATTGAAGTAAAACTGGCAAGACACAAATAACCTTTTTAAAGTCCACAATTCAGTGGCATTTAGTACATCACAATGTTGTGCAGTACCATCTAGTAGTATCAAAGGTGCTGATTTAAAAAACATTTTTTTTTTGAGTCGAATTCTCACTCCGTTGCCCAGGCTGGAGTGCAGTAGCACGCTCACGGTCACTCCAGTGTGGACCTGCTGGGCTTCCGGTGATCCTTCAGCCTCAGTCTTACAAGTAGCTGGAACTACAGGCATTCACTACCATGCTTGAGTAATATTTTAAAAATTTATTTATTGTAGAGATGAAGTCTCTCCAAGTTGCCCAGGCTGGTCTCGAACCCACGGGCTTGGGCAGTCCACTAGCCTCAGCTTCCCAAAGTGGGGATTACAGGCTGAGTTACCGAATCCGGCCAAAAATTTTGCTTTTTTTAATACTTTTATTTTACTTCAAGGTTTTAAATTCTTGTTTTTTTTAAAATACTTTTTTTTTGGAAAACATTTATTTTTATATAATACACATTTTTGGAGCGTATGTGATCATTTGATACCTTTATATAATGTGTAAAGATTAAATAAGGACAATTGAGATATCCATCCTTTTAAATATTTTGCCTTTTACAAATACTTTTTAAAAACTAGTTTATCAGCCTAGGTAACAGAGTGAGAGCCTATCTTTACAAAAAATAAAAAAATTAGACAGGCATGGTAGCACACACCTGTATTTCCAGCTAATTGGGAGGCTGAGGCAGAAGGATCATCTGAGCCCAGGCAGTTGCTATGGTGAGCCATGATCATGCCACTGCACTCTAGCCTGGATGACAGAGTGAAACCCTGACTCAATCAACCAACCAATCAATAAAACTGTCATACAGGCTGGAGTGCAGTGGCACGATCACAGTTCACCAGCCTCCTGTGCTCAGGCAATCCTTCTGCCTCAGCCTCCCAAGTAGATGGTACTACAGGCGTGTGCTACCATGCCCAGCTAATTTTTTGATTTACTGTAGAGATGAGGCCTCACCAAGTTGCCCATTTTGGTCTCCAATTCCTGGGCTCAGATGATCCTCCTGCCTTGGCCTCCTCAAGTGCTGGGATTCCAGGTGTGAGCCACCATGCCCACCTGATATAGTTAAAATTTTTTAATGGAAAGATTAGTCTAGTCTTGACACCTGAAACCAATTTAATCACAGAGGTTCTTATAGAGTGAAAGATAAATCAGGAGAATCAGAGGAGACGGGGACAATAGAAGCAGAGAGCTGAGTGGTGTGACTCCTGGTTCTAAAGATAGAAGGCCACAAAACCAGCGATGTACGCAGTCTCTGGAAGCCAGAAAAGACAAGGAAATGAACCCTCTTCTGAAGCCTCCAAACTGGCTTTGCCAACACTTTTATTTTTAGATCTGTAAGTCTCATTTCAGGTATCTGACTTTCAGAACTGTTTATCTTACAGTAACACTACCCCAATGTCTATTTTCTAAGATAAATCCTTTTTTTTTTTTTTTTTGCTGGTACTGAACAAGGCTAGTTGGTAGCACTATCAAATGTATGTTTTATTTTTTTTGTTTTTTTTTTTGGAGTTGGAGTCTCACTCTGTCGCCCAGACTGGAGTGCAGTGGCCGCTCTCGGCTACCGCAGCCTTGACCTGCTGGGCTCCGGTGATCCTTCCGCCTCAGCCTTCCAAGTAGCTGGAATTACAGGCATGTGCTACCACACCCGGCTGATTTTTTTTTTTTTTTTAATTTATTGTAGAGATGAGGTCTCGCTGCCCAGGTGGGTCTCGAATCCGTGGGCTCAGGCAATCCACTCACCTCAGCCTCCCAAAGGCATGGGATTACAGGCTGAGCCACTGAGCCCGGCATAAATCCTTTAAAAAAAAACAAAACAAAAACCTGCCAGTCTAGTGTGGTAGTTGGATGGTAGTGGTAGCAGCTTGGATTTTACATTTAATACATTTGGATCTTACAAATACATTTGTGTTATTTTAAACCACCAAAGTTGTGGTAATTTGTTACAGCAGCATTAAGAAACCAACAAACAATTTTATTCAGGCATGATAGTTTACTCCTATAATCCCAGCACTTTGGGAGGCAGAGGTGAGAGGACTGCCTGAGCCCAAGGATTTAAGACCACCCTGGGCAACTTGGCAAGACCTCATCTCTATAATACATCAAAAAATTAGCCAAGCATGGTGGTGCATGACTGTAGGTTCAGCTACTTGGAAGGCTGAGGAAGAAGGATCACCTGAGCCCAGCAGGTCAAGACTGCATGTCACTGCACTCCAGCCTGGGTGACAGTGTGTCTCTGACTCAAAAAAAAAAAAAACAACAAAAAACCAACAGTCTTGTTACGAGTTTCATTTGCCACCTTCACCTATACTAATCCTAGACTGATTTATACTGAAATATCCTGGTTTTCCTATTTTCCTTACATTTGTTGGTAGAAGAATTCAGTCTTGAAGTTTTGGTGTTTTTGAGTGCTATCCAAATGAAGCAAGAGGAGGAAGCAGAGTTGTTCATACTGGGTTGCCTGTGAAGCTCAGGCATTGCTGGTCCTCTCTCATCACTGCTGCACACTCATGGATGTTCTCCAGGGTTTTTGTCAGGCATTCTCGCCTCCCCAGGAATTAGGTGGTCCTTTTCCAGAGGACAGGTGGCAGTGGTGTGGTGCACAGTTGATTCTCTCCTTCAGTTAGAAGGCAGAGATGGTGTGTAAGTGAGTGCAGTAGGTAGAAGCTGTCATCACTTTTCAACAGGCAGTTTCTCCTTATGAATCCATCTAAATTTCTGGGGAGTAGAGGAGCAGGAGCCTGGCTGTAGTTTTGGGTGCTCTGTCCAGGTAGGCTGTGGAGGGGAGGCAGCTTCAATTCTTGTTTTGTTTTGATCAATTCAGCAGGCACCTATTAGCCAAGAAGCCCTTTCGTGGAAAGAATTTACTCTATCGCTATTAAATAGCTTCACTTGATGTTTTCTTGAGGCATAAATTTGTAGAATCATAAAATTCTTGCATCATTTAAAAAACTGATACATAATAATTGTACATATTTATGGAGTGCGTGTGATATTTTGACACAGGCATACAATGTGTAATGATCTTGCATCATTTTAATTAGAAATTAGTTCTCAGAATCTAGTCCGAGGCAGAAGAGATGGCTGAATATTTCTTGCTTTACTCACTATACACAAATATGAGTAAGAATTCTTTTGCTACAAAACCCAATCTGCATCTAAATTCTGGTTAATTGTTTTACTACAAGCTGATTGTAAACCTGCATCCCGATTAATCAGCTTATTTTTCAGGTATGCAGCTGTGTAAATTGTTAGATTTATTACAGTGTTTAGTTCTGAAATGTAAACATAAGCCATTTTACATATAATAACTGCTTAGGAAATGTATTTCTTTTTACAGATAACTGCTACTATAATCAAAGTCGTTTTCTATTTATGAAGAGTTAATTTTTATTAAAAAAATTTTTTTTTTGCAGAGACAGGGTTTCATTATGTTGCCCGGGATAGTATTGACCTCCTGGCCTCAAGCGATCCTCCTGCCTCAGCCTTCCAAAGCGCTAGGACTACAGGAGTGAGCCACCACAGCCATCTGAAAAAATAAAGGTATTTAAAATTAAAAGTGCGTCAACTTAAATAAAGTACTAATTAAATAATAACACAAATGGTTTGCAAATACTACAAACCCGGAGAGCCGCAGGCACCGGAAACAAGAGTTTAAAAAAGTGGCTCAGCGTGGGCGCCGGATGGGTGAGAGACGGCTACGGAAGCCTGAAGACCAAGAAGCAGACTGGAACGCGTTAACCACGCCACTCGGACCTGGAGGAAAAGATGGCTCCGCCTCCCGGCGCGTGCGGCGCAGTGCGCAGGCGCGTCGGTGTACCTCTGCAGGCCCGCTGGGTCTCACCGCGCAGGCGCAGGCGCGGCCACCGGTGTGGTCCCCATGGAGCTACCGTAGCGGTGCCGGCGCAGTCGGGAGCGTCCGGCATGAGCGCTGTCGAAGCCGACCGCTGGGCGTGGCTGCTGGTGCTCAGCTTCGTGTTTGGGTGCAATGTCCTTAGGATCCTCCTCCCGTCCTTCTCCTCCTTCGTAAGTGGCTGCCTGGCCTTCCAGGTGCCGGGGGGGACGCCGCTCCCGTACCCCGCAGGTCTGGCGTGGACATGGGGATCTCATACTGGGCGCCCGAGGGCTGGATTCAATCCGCAGTAGGGTCTTGGTCTGCTCTGTGTTTTTAGATTTTTTTTTTTTTTGAGAGAGTTGCTGGCATCTAAAAGCTGCGAAACCTTGCTTCCAAATTCGACTTTCCGGGTTTTCGGGGGCCTGGGCAGGGATTCAGAAATACTTGGCGACCCTTGGCTTTCACCTGGCAGGACTCTGGGGGTGGGTGGTAGCGGCGTGCCTCGGACTAGGAGTTTTCGGCCTCACTGCCAGCGCCACTCGTTTCTGTTACCCCTGGTAGAGGAGGCATTGGAGGAGGTTTCTAGGGGACCATGGTTTCCCGGAGGTCTCGCATGCAGGTCAGCGGTGCCAGGGACGGATCCGGGATACAGGCACCCACATTCTCGGATGGGGTGGGGAGACAGGTGTATAGAGAACCTCAGTAAACTGTGATTGATGCCTTCTGTATCCAAGCTCTGGGGAGCATTGTCTTTCTGCTAGGCATTTTGCCCAGGCCGTCAGTACTTAACCGCGTGTCCAGATGTCAGGGCTGCTGTGCGAGGTGAATAGTATCGTCCCATCTTCTTTTGCCTTCCGGGAGGAGGAGTCAGGCGCAGTTTAATAGTTGCACCAAGTCATCCACCTAGTGACTGGGAAGGTGGAGATTTGATCTTTTGTGATTCTCTCAGTTCTGGCCTTCTGTCTATTGCAGCATGAATAGGAATTCAGTGGCAGATTGGGGCCTGGTGGGGTGTGGGCGTGGGGAGGGGGAACATCCGGAGCTGTCCCCAAAGAAGGGTGTCCACTGTAGGCCCACAGCAGGGATGAGGGGCTGTGTTGGCTCAGACTGAGACTTCAAAGATTGGGTGCATGCGTTGTAGCATTTCCTGGATTACAGAGCTTGCTTCTCTCTCCTAATGTAAATGGTGGTATATTCCAGACTAGGCAGGATTTCTTTATGTTTTATTCTACCAATATCCACTGAGTGCCTGCTTTGTGCATAACTCTTCCTACTATTCTCATTGTCCTGAGGTATAGGGAATTCTCTCTTAACCCCTAAATCTCCTTCCTTTCCTGGTGTGGTATTGTCTTTAAGATGATGTCCCAGGTCTTTAACATTGCATAAAAGTTGACCCCTGCTCATCTTTCTTTCTTCTCTTTTTAATTGTAACATATACATAATGTAACAGCATCATCTTAACTATTTTTAGGTGTGCTATTCAGTGGCATTAAATACATTCACATTGTTGTACAACCATGATCATCCCAGAACTTTTTAATCTTTCCAACTGAAACACTACACTTCTTTTTAAAATACGGTCTTATTTGGGTTTAGTTTGCTCTTTTCTAATTTCTTAAGGTAGAAGGTTAGGGGAAAAATATAGTTTTAAAAGTCATATTTATTGAGTTATAATTTGTATTTGGTGAAATTATCAAAAAATCTTTAGGCAGCATCTGTAGATTGTCTGTTTTTGAAAGAAGAAGAGATACAAAGACATTTAACTTTAGAGAAAATAAATAAAACATGGACTGGGCATGATGGCTTACGGCTGTAATCCCAGCACTTTGGGAGGCCAAGGCAAGAGGATCCCTCCCCAGTCTTCCCTGTCTGCTGGCAACCCATTCTACTCTTAGCTTGACTACCCTAGGGACCTCTTATAAGTGGAATCATACAGTATTTGTCCATTTATTTCTCACTTATTTCACTTAGCAGAAAGTCCTCAAGGTTCATCTATGTTGTAGCATGTGTCAGAATGTCCTTACTTTTTTTTTGAGTTGGAGTCTCACTCTGTCACCCAGGCTGGAGTGCAGTGGCATGCTCACAGCCACCACAGCCTTGACCTGCTGGACTCAGGTGATCCTTCCACCTCAGTCTTCCGAGTAGCTGGAACTACAGGCATGTACCACCACGTCTGGTTAATTTTTTGATTTATTGTAGAGATGAGGTCTCTCCAAGTTGCCCAGGCTGGTCTCGAACCCCTGGGCTCAGGCAGCCCTCTCACCTCAACCTCTCAAAGTGCTGGGATTATAGGCATGAGCCACTGTGCCCGGCCTGTCCTTATTTTTTTTTTTTGAGTTGGAGTCTCACTCTGTCACCCAGACTGGAGTGTAGTAGCCACTCCCGGCCACTGCAGCCTCCACCTGCTGGTCTCCTGCAATCCTTTTGCCTCAGCCAAGTAGCTGGAACTACAGGCATGTGCTACCACACCCAGCCAATTTTTGATTTATTGTAGAAATGAGGTCTCATCAAGTTGCCCAGGCGGGTCTCGAACCCGTGGGCTCAGGCAATCCACCCACCTCAGCCTCTCAAAGCGCTGGGATTACAGGCTGAGCCATCAAGCCTGGCCCTGTCCTTACTTTTTAAGGTTGGATAAATACTTCATTGTATGCCTGGCACCACATTTCGTTTATCCATTCATTTGTCTGTATGTAGACACTTGAGTTGTTTCCACCTTTTGACTATTGTAGATAATGCTGCTAAAACATTGATGTGCAAATATCTGTTTGAGTTTCTGCTTTTAGTTCTTTTGGACTTTATGGGTTCTAGGAGGGTGCGGGGGTTCTCTGCCTTCTTGGGGGGCACTGGTCCTGTGTAGGATGAAATGCAGCTCACAATCATTATAGGCTGGGTATATACCCAGAAGTGGAATTGTTGGTGGATTTTATGTTTAATTTTTTTTTTTTTTGAGTGGAGTCTCACTCTGTCGCCCAGACTGGAGTGCAGTGGCCACTCCCGGCCACCGCAGCCTCGACCTGCTGGGCTCCGGCGATCCTTCCGCCTCAGCCTTCCGAGTAGCCAGAATTACAGGCATGGGCTACCACGCCCGGCTGATTTTTTGATTTATTGTAGAGATTGAGGTCTCGCTGCCCAGGCGGGTCTCGAACCCGCAGGCTCAGGCAATTCACTCACCTCAGCCTCCCAAAGGCGTGGGATTACAGGCTGAGCCACCGAGCCCGGCTGTTTAATTTTTTTTTTGAGAAACCATCATACTGTTTCCCACAGCAGCTGTACCATTTCACATTCCCATCAGTGATGCACAAGGTTTCCATTTGCTCCATGTCCTCCAATACTTATTTTCTGTTTGTTTTTTCCTAATGGCCATCCTAATGGGTGTGAGGTGGATCTCAGTTTTGGTTTGCATTTCCCTAATAATTACTGATGTTGATAATCTTGTCACATGTTTGTGGCCATCTGTCTATCTTCTTTGGAGAAATATCTAGTCAAATCCTTTGCCCCCTCTCCCTGCCCCCTTCTCTAAATCTAATTTCAAATCCTCCTGCCTCAGCCTCCTATGTAGCTGGGAATACAGTCTCATCATACCACACCCAGATATGGTGTTCTTTATATATATTCTGGATATTAACCTCTTATCAGGTAAATGATTTGCAAATATTTTCTCCCATTCTGTAAGTTGCCTGTGCATCTTTTTTGCAGTATCATCTCCATTCTTCCTATGTTCCCTCATCCCATTTCACTCAGTAGCTGATAGGGAGTGAGGAGTATGCAATGGTCTGTCATCATCTCAGGCTCTGTAATCAAGCCTACATCGACAGTGCTCTCTACTGTCCACTGTCACAAGGTGTTATTGCTGCAGTACATATACTCAGTAAGGAAGGGTGTTCATTTAGATGACAGAGCACTGTGCTTGTTCTTAGATCTGGGTATGCCTCCTGTGCTGCCTCCCACAAGCTGCACAGCCTCTGTAACCTCAAACCAGTCAGCTTTCTTAAACCCGGGTGTGAAACTGGTTGTTAGCCAGGCTCAGTAGGATAACATAATTATCCCAGCAGAGTACAGTCCCGTAACTGGTGTTCAGAGCAGCAGGGGGTACTAAGAGGTCTGTTTTGTCTGGTTACTGGGTTTAGGGGTGGAGGTGTATGAAAAGCTGTAAGGAACGTGCTGGTCCTGGGTAGGGTGAGATGCTCCTCCTTCACAATTTTTAGATCACAGCCTGACTTGGGGAATCAAGCGGGAAAGACTCAGGACGGGAAACAGAACATTGGATAGGGAACATAGTGCTGGGGATGTGAGATCATAACTTTCCTTACAACATTTCTGAACTCATTAGTCAGTGAAGGTTGCACTGGTCCTCTCGCCTGAGGCCCTTTAGGAAGTCTGAAGTATCTGAAGTCTTTGGCAGCAAAGCCTTGCGTGGCCCTGGTAGGTGATCTCAGCGGCCTGCAGGGGGTGGGGGTAGGGTGCTTGAATCTGAACGGCCAGTCCTTCGTCCCTCCCGCCCTCTCTTCAAGCTGGTCACAGGATGCATGGGTGAGAGAGCCTAGTTCACTGAGTAGGTAGGTGATCCAGAACTTTCTTCAGCTATAGGAGGAGAGGCATAGAGCCATCTTCAGCGAGCACCCATGCCAGGGAGGTGCACTGCGCAGGCGCCCGGGACTGGCTCACCCACTGCGCAGGCGCTAGAGCCCCTCCCGCGCAGGCCCACTTTGCGGGCACTGGCACTGCGCAGCTGCCCTTTGGGCTTGGGCAGCTCGGCGCCATGTTCAGGTTCAACTCTTGAAATCGTCTTTAACTTTGTGCTCCAGAAAGGGCCCCCTCCCTTTCCCTCTCGGAAACTGAGGCAAGAGAACATTGCAGGATTCACCTCTGTGGGCATCTTCCTTACTCTCTCCTCTTTTTCCGTAGAAAAGTGAGTTTAATGAGTCCCTGCTATGGTCCAGGCATGATGGCCCCAAGCATCGGTTTGGGGGTGACGATCCAGTTCACGTCACAGGATCTACCCCAGGCCCCTCAGACGCGCGAGAGGCAGCGGTAGGGCTGCAGTGCGCATGCGCATCCCCCCCCCCCCATCTGGGGAATCACTCAACGTGAGAGCCAGTGCGAAGAGGAGGGGCGGTGGCGGGCCTGAGGCTTGCCCACTTTTCAGCCCTGGCGGAGGTCCTGACTGGGCAGATCTTTTGGTAGTGGCATCTGGGGCTGCTTAGAGTCTGGAGCTTCACAGAAGCCTTGGTCCCTTCCTGAAATGGAGGACTTGGTTCCGTGTTTAGGGACACACGGAGAGGGTGACCCGCGTTAGTGGAAGATTACTGAATTCCAGGGAGGAATGAGTACAGGCTGCGCATGTCATGCCATCAACTAATTTTCAGACGGATCTGGCTCTGAGACTTGTCATCCTGTGAGTGGGCATGGGAGTTTGAATCTCCCTATAGTGACCCCAAGTTCAAGCCACAGCCTTTTATCTGTTGGCAAAGAGGTCATCGAACCTGAACAGCTTCTGAGGGTAAGTGGCAGGAGGACATTATGAGCTCACATAGGTATGTGGCCAGCATCTGCGAACCAGAGTGAACAGGAGGAGGTTCTGTTCTTTTTTTCTCCAGGCCCGCATCATCTTGACATTTTAAAAACTCATTTTCTGCTTCAAAATTCTTTGTGCACCTATCTACAGGTCCTTGAAAGGCAGCACCCTGTTTCTGTCAATTGTACCTTTTAATGGCCTGAAAGGTAACTTTTGAGTACATGAAAAAGACTAGGGATTTATTTTTGTTTTGAAAATTAACATTGGCATTATTATATTTAGATTTATATCATTAAATCTTACACTTAATAATTCTAGACTATTTTAACACTTTTATGTGGCTCTTAGATTAATGTTGGCACACATTTGCAAATTTAAACGCTTTCAAACATTTTTGATTGTATTTATAGATATAATAAATGTAATATTTTTTCAAGCACCAGTTGTCTGATTTAGGCACAAAGCTGCCTTCTGTTCCCCTCATCTCAAGTTCATCCTCCTGCGCTCATTTGCCTTCCACTCCTGTGTAATCACTTTTGACCTTTTCAGTTGTCTTGTATATTCTCTCCCCCATCCAATCATGTTATCAGGTTGCCCAGGCTCCTGGTCTAGAGGGATCCTCTTGCCTTGGCCTCCCAGAATGCTGGGATTACAGCCGTGGGCCTTCACGCCCAGCCCATGTTTTATTTATCTTCTATAAAGTTAAATGGCTTTGTACCTCTTAATTTTAAAATTCTGTTTTATTTGGGTTTAGTTTGCTCTTTTTCTAATTTCTTAAGGTGGAAAGTTAGGGAAAAAATATGGTTTTAAAAGTCATATTTATTGAGTTATAATTTGTATATAGTGAAATTATCAAAAAGTCCTTAAGCAGCATCTGTAGACTGCCTGCTTTTGAAAATGATTCTGTGATTTTTTAAAGAGAATTTGGCCCATTCCTATTTCCTTTTCCAGGGTGGCTCAGGCGGTAGAGCATTAGGTAGTGGTCAGGCCAGGACAGGGGTCATCATAAAGAGAGTTGGACTCGAAGACCTTCACTCCCAGTGTGAGGCTTGCTGGAAGGTACACAGTAGAGAACACACACTTGAGCAGGCGCCCCCCCCCCCCATAGGGCCTCATTGCGCAGACACTCTCGGGCCTCCTGGTGGCCCAGGAACTTGCGCAGCCACATGCCCATCTCCCCTGCCTGGTGGGACTTGGCTTCCCCGCTCTAACTCCAGTTGCTCTACTGTACAGCTGTTGGAGGGGGCCTGTGACATTGGGACGAATTCATTGTGTACTTGTGTGCCAGATACACTTTAGATAAACTGTTCTTCTTATCCTTTTATTAATTTATTTTTGAAATTTTGAAACAAACACAAACGTACCACAAAGTTATGCACACGGTGCAGAGAAACAAATTTTGTTTTCGGAACCATTTGAAAATAAGTTGTCAGCTTGAGTTCCCTCATTCCCCTATACTTTGGTATATAAACAACAACCTTGTCTACAATACCGCTGTCGAGTATGTTGCAGTTATCTAATCCTCAGGTTCTGTTCAAATTGTCCACATGTCCCAATAACGGCCTGTATGCAGAAGGACCCAGTCTCAGAATCATGCACTGCATTTACTTGTCATTCTCTGTAGAGTCCTCCAGTCTGGAGGAATTTCTCCGTCTTTCATTGTCTTGCATGACTGTCATTTCTGAGAATCACAGGACAGTGATTTTGCAGAATAGTTTGTCCCATGTATGGCAGGGATATCTCAGAGGCCATGCAGTGTTCTCATCTCTTCTCCTCCGCCGGTGAAGGACTTCGATTTGGGGATATTTGCAGATGACTTGGGACAGGTTGCCGGAGGCGCCTCCTGAGGTTTTTTTTAATTCACCAAGGTCAGCCTCCCTGGACCTCAGAGTACCGGTGTGCCCGTGCAGTCCAGGAGCGCCGGCCTTTCCCAGCCACCTGGCGGGCGCCACCTGGCGACCAATTATTTCATCCCTTGAACAACAAGCCCGCGGGCGGCACCCAGGGACGTTTTCAGGAGCTTGTCGCATCTGGTGTGGTGACGTGTAGCCGGGACCCATCGGGACCACCCAGGGTTGACCTAGGGAGGGTGCCTCTTTATATATTTTTACGTGTATGTTTCTATATCTGTGATAAATCACATATCTCCACATTCTTTTTTTTTTTTCGAGTTGGAGCCTCGCTCTGTTGCCCAGGCTAGAGTGCAGTGGCATGCTCATGGTCACCACAGCTTCAGCCTGCTGGGCTCAGTGATCCTTCCACCTCAGCCTCAGCCTGATCTACAGGCATATGCCAACCATGCCTGTCTAATTTTTTGATTTATTGTAGAGATGAGGTCTCACCAAGTTGCCCAGGCTTGTCTTGAATCTGTGGGCTTAGGCAATCCTCTCACCTCGGCCTTCCAAAGTGCTGGGATTATAGGTGTGAACCACCACGCCTGGCCAAATACCTCCACATTCTAAGCCAACACCACAAGATTCATTCTGGCTGTCTTTGGAGACATATTTCCAACTTTGACAATGAGAAGCTTGGTTCATGTTCTCCTCAGTATGTTTGCTTTATGTGATCAGTCCTTTGTAACTGATTTCCCATCTCTTCTGCCAACCCCTACCAGGGTGGATACCACCTAGCTCCCACTTGGACTCTGACACTGTGGTTGGCAGAGTTTCTTCTTCCTGTCTTATCCCTCCCTCCCTCCCCCCCCCCCCCCCCCCC